CGTGCTCGGGCTCGGCTCAACTCTTCTTCAGGCCGTTGTGAGTGTCGTCTAACCTCGCGGATCATGCTGGGGACCTAAATGCGTCTGCTAATACAATTCTTACTAGAGGTCATTCATGGCTGCAGGCTCATTGACTCTCGGCGGTAACATGAGTCTGGCTGTCGGTCCTCTGGGACGTAACGGGGAGGCCTCCGGTGCACTCAGCACAAAGGGCAAAGTTGCTGCAATGTTCGTACACTATAGTACCCTCATCTCCAATACTCGTCTCACCTCCTTTCAGGTACAGCTACTCGAAGACGCGCGGCCTTTTCGGTGGTGTTTCGGTCGAGGGCTCCGTGATCGTCGAGCGACAGGATGCGAACTCACATGCGTATCACGCGAGCGTAAGTTCGAAGCAAATTTTGAGCGGAAGTGTCACGCCGCCAGACTGGGCACAGCCTCTCATCCACACCCTTGAATCCTGTACCAGCGCACCCGGCGGACGTGCGTGGGTGGCAGATGATCGATCCTCACGTGGCTCCTCATACGCATTCAATGGAATCGCAAGTAGCAACGCTGAAGTCCCACCATCGCTGCGCAAGCAACCGCGTAAATCATCTACTACGTCCAACTTTCCTCCTGATTCGTGGGGCGCACGCAGGAATTCAGGCAGCTACTTTGGACCTCCTAGAGAGGAGGCTATTTCTGGTTCCGCCTGGGACTATGACCAGCCCCCCCGAATCGACGATCCTTCATTCGAAACACGCTTCGAAAATGACTTTGCCCCCACTGGGCGTTCGCGTATGCAGCATACTCCTGGTCAATCCTTCGACTCTTCCATGGGCAGCAGTTCCCGCACGCGACTGCAACCCGTGCACTCCCGGTCATCGAGAAGCGCAGCGAGCAACCCATTTTACTCACAAGCAGAACATGAGAACGATGGCTATGATATAGCAACACCATTTGGACCGACGCTCGAGGATGAAGGAAATCCGTTTGGACCAGGTTCTCGGGTTGTCGACGCTGCGGCTAAGAGGTATCGTGAGGCTGAGCGCGATCGTGCGCTCAGCAAGCCACTTGCACAGGGAGAGGGCGTCGGTCGTGCGATCGCTCTATTCGATTTTCGTGCAGTCGAGCCGGAAGATTTGTCTTTCTTGAAAGGCCAGGTCATCACTATTACGGAGAAGAGTGACTCGTCAGATGCATGGTGAGTGTCCTCACACCGTGTTTTGGCTACCCGGAGTGCTGGGTGCTGACTATACCCTGCTTAGGTGGAAGGGGAAGCTCGAAGGGCGAGAGGGATCGTTTCCTGCTAACTTTGTAGATGTTGTATGAGTGGTTTCTCAACTGTTTCTGTTTCTGTACACACGGACGGTACTGTACTATGGTCATGTGGCACGGATTATATAATACACTGCATTCTTGTCTCTACTCGTCCCCCAACACGCTCTGTCGCTTATTCCACCGCAATGTCTTCTAAACGAAAATGGGACCAGGCTGCACCGGAAGATGACGCAGAATCTCCCGCAAAGGTTTCAAAAGTGGACGAAAGCAAGAATGCGTCTACAGCTGCTGCCGCAGCCGCGGCCATAGCAGCCAAAATCGCTGCTCAATACAGCGGTGCTGGTGCTGGGAGCGGAGGTGGGCTACTCGGACCCAAGGATATACATGACGGAGAGTTCACTCAAGACATCGACATTAACGACGTGAGAAATCGTTATATGTTGACCAAGGGTTCTACACAACAACAAGTGCGTCACTCCTCTCCCATCCGTGACGGACATATCTCGCGAACCCTTGTGTCCATTTTCATTTTAGATACACGACGAAACAGGAGCCTCCGTCAGCACAAAAGGCATATGGTACCCCGATCGCTCAAAGGCCACGGAGAAAGACCCTCCGTTGTACCTACACATATCCGCGAACACGAAAGAAATGTTGCAGTTTGCCATGGACAGAGTCAATGAGCTCATCGCAGTTGACATGGGGTCTCTTGTCGAGGATAAAGGAAGGCGAGAAAAGGTGCCTTCCTTTTACTGCGTGATAGCAGGTTGCTTGCGCTCACGTCCCCTTAGCGTAAATGGCCTGAGGAGAAAATCTTTATCGGCTTGGAGTCAATCCGTAATTTTAACGTGCGCGCCAAGGTTGTTGGTCCTACTGTAAGTGTCTGGTCCTTTGACATAGGCGCTTCTCACGAACTGTTCACAGGGCATGTTCGTCAAATATATACAGCAAGAAACGGGGACTCGGGTGCAGATAAAAGGCCAAGGGTCAGGGTTTGTGGACCAGGAAACGGGGAAGGAGTCAGAAGAGCCTATGCACATTCACATAACGTGCGTCTAAGCCCTGGCGTCTTAAGTTGTTTTGACGGCCTCCCAGCGGGCCCGAAGATGGTCAAGTCGCACGCGCAAAGGCGCTGACTGATGACCTACTCGAGGTCGTCCGAGGGGAGTACGCAAAGGTCAAGACGATGCTGCATCAGCAACAGATGGAACTTCACCAGGCCCAAATGCAGTATGCCTCGTATGGTATGATGGGGGTACGTGTCCTTATTTTCGGATGCTCGTTCCGTCCGGGTTTTCATCCTCTCGTTCCGTTCTGATCCGTCTCCTTTCCCAGAGCTATGTTCCCCCTCCTCCATCTGCAGCTCCACCGCCGCCACCACCCGGTGAACAACCACCGCCACCGCCTTCCGATGGGGCTACGTCCGCCCCAGGAACTGCCGCAGTAGCACCGGCCCCAACGGACATGGATGCCTACGCAGCTTATTGGTACGTTTCATACCTATCAAGGACCCGGGTCACTCTTGATAGATAACACTTAGGGCTGCCTATGGCTACGATGTGAATTCATCGGAGTTCAAAGAATGGCAAGCAAGTCAGATGGCACAATACAACCAGTATTATGCAGGCTCTGACTCCGCTGCTGCGGGTGCTGGTCCAGCGGCTCCTGCACCGCCTCCCAGTGAACCAGCACCACCGCCCCCGCCTCCCGCCTAGGTACCGCTCTCGTTTGCATGCTCAATCTGTAGATCCAATCTGTAGTGTGTTTTGCGGTCGTTGGGCGTGTCAATATATGTGGAGTTAGTTGCTGTTGGGCATGAGCGCTTAAATTGGTCCATGTCGTTTACGTTACGCAAAAACAGGGACGGCTAGGTCGTCACAGCGACGACGGTAATGAGCTGACCAGCACAGCCTGACAGGGAGGACAACTTGTGCAGCACGAATGAGCTCTACAATTGCCATCCTCGTCCTTCTTTTGGCGCTTCTCCTGTACTTGTACATTCGTTTGAACGATGCTAAACTCATGAAGCTGCCCCATGAGGTCGCCTCGGCTTTCTCACCGCATCGGATCAGCGCAAGAGACGCTTTAGAAGCAGCGGCAAGGTCAGAGACGACGAGATTCGACTCAAAGACGTTCCTCCCACCGAGGACAGGAAGAAGATATATAATCGTCGGCGGGGTATGTTCAATCAATTGGCCAAGCGAGCCGTGTGCCCTTGGGCTTAGGGACCCACTCACTAACTTGGACTCCTCTCGCCTCTCTCTCTCTCCTCCTCCGTCAGGCTGGCTTTCTCGGTGGCTGGATCGTCCGCCATTTGCTGGAACGCGGCGAACACCCGAAGCAAATCAGAGTCCTTGACAAACGTGCTCCCACGCGCTCCGATTTGACGACCGGCTTGGCCAAAGAAGTCGACTTTTGTCTCGTCGATATCTGTGATCGAGAGCAAGTCCAGGCGGCCTTCAACGCACCCTGGCCATCGTCATTGACACCGACTGTCGACTCGGAGATCGTCGAGACGGAGACGACCGTTTTTCACACAGCAGCCAATATCCGCTATTACGAGCGCGACATCAGACTTTTACCCCTCTCGGAAAAAGTGAACGTCGAGGGAACGCAGAACGTGTTAGATGCCGCGCGAGCCGCAGGCGTGAGCGTTCTCATCTATACCTCGAGTGGATCCGTATCTGTTCGACGCGCGCGGCTGTGGCTTTGGCCATGGGAAAAACAATCACCGTTTTCGGTACAGACTATCGACGACGACGATAGTCGCCTGCCTCGGCGTCACGAAGAAATGTTTTCAAACTATGCAGCGTCCAAACTCAAGGCTGAAAGGTTGGTCCGGGCGACCGACCGGACTCCACTGCCATCCGGGAAGGGCCACCAGCTTCTTCGTACGGGGTGTCTGCGACCTGGGAACGGTATTTACGGTACCGGGGGCGACATTATGTGCGGCGCATATCTAGCGAGGCGGGTTAATCCCTCCTGGGCTCAAGATATCCTTCAGAATTTCATTTACGTAGAGAACGCCTCGCTCGCACATCTCTGCTACGAACAGCGTCTGATCGAATTTGAAAAGGCGCGAGGCTCCCCCAATATTGATCCCAATCCTGACGTTGGTGGTCAGGCATTCGGCATAGTAGATGCCGGCCCGCCCCTCACTTACGGAGATGTCTACACCGTCCTCACCACTCTTACCGATGGACAGACCGTTTTCCCTCGGCTGTCCGCCACGGCCATGCTTTTACTCTCCCACATATTCGAGGGGCTACACCTCCTGCGGTTTTTACCGGCATTATCGACCAGCCCTTTCCTTCGTCGTCTCAGTCAGTTCGTACCAGCCCTCAGCGCGGATCTTATCAATCTCCAGCCCTCATTGTTCTCCCTTACCACCGTACACCTCGTTTGGGACGATTCGCGTGCTCGAAAATCCCCGGAGAAAGGCGGTCTGGGCTATGAACCCCAATGGACGACCCTCACTGCGTTGTGCAAGCTGGTGGAGGAGCACAAGAAAGCGAACGGTTGATTTGAGGCCAGGTCGATGGGCGGTGGTATCAGTTTTGGATTGGGATTTGGGACGGGCTTCAGGAGTGGAGGTGATCGAAAGCTTTGCTACTCCGCGATGTGCTAGATGACGTTGTTAATTGCACTATAATTCAATCTCGAGGCCGCCCCTTCAAAAAATTGGTGCAATGTAGATTTGGAGTGAATGGGACAGAAATCGAAAAAGATCAAGGACTAGCCCACCGCGAGGGTCGAACTCGCAGCCTTCAGATTTTCGGGTCGTGGCGACCATGCACCCACCGTAAGAGTCTGACGCTCTATCCGATTGAGCTAGGCGGGCACTTGGAAACGGACAGAATTAGGGCAACTAGACCCGTAAACACACTCGCACGGCTTTAAAGACAATGTTTGTATATGCATTTCAGTCCGTTATACTAACCGGACATTGTTCGTATTCGTGATAGATGAAAGCAATGTGCGAGGTGTGCGAGGATAAACAACTACCTCCAGCCAATTAAGCGCATAGGATTACAGTATAGCAAGGGTAATGGAAAGCAATGATGAAAGGAGTGAACAACAGCCGGACTCCTGTGCCTCAGGGTCTTAGATCTATATTGTAACCTGGCAGCGATGTTGTAGACGAAGACGCTGTCAAGGGCCCTGTGGTCACTTTGGTCATGGGTTTCGAGTTGGGAGCTGGAATCCAAGGCACATTCGGGGGCGTTTCGGGTCCGGGTGTAATCGGCCGCGAAGACGATGGCGTATTCATTTGTGAGCGGTTGTGGACGAGGTGCGCCCGAACGAGGTGGCCAGCAGCAAGGGCGCTGAGGAGGGAAAGTTCACCTGCCATGACGGCAGCAGCTATGATGCGAGCAAGCTGCTGTGCATTCTGACCTGGCACAGTCGGATGCGCGCCCTTTACACCTAGCATCTCCAATACGGATTGCTGAGGGGCAAGGACAGTACCACCGCCGATTGTGCCGACTTCTATGCAAGGCATTGTGATGGTGACAAGAACATCTTTACCCTCGTTCGTTCTAGCACTCTAATCAGCGAGGAGTCAGATGCGGTAGAAAAACCAACTCACAATTCCATCAGCGTCATGCAATTGGAGGATTCCACATTCTGTGCTGGGTCTTGTCCAGTGGCAAGGTATATCGCAGTCAAGATATTTGCGGCATGAGCGTTGAAACCACCGATGGAGCCGGCCATCGCACTGCCGACAAGGTTTTTCTTCGTGTTGAGGTTACACAACGCCTCTGGTGTGGTCTTCAGCACCGACTTGACAATATGCCCCGATAAGATTGCCTCTGCGACTACGCTCTTGCCACGTCCCTCGATCCAGTTAATGGCGGCGGGCTTCTTATCGGTACAATAGTTACCAGAGAGAGCGAGGACGATCATCTCCGGGAAGTACTTGCTCATGGCTTCTAGAGCTTTCTCTGTACCTTTCGAAATCATATTCATGCCCATTGCATCGCCAGTGGTCGTCGCAAACCGCACAAACAGCGTCCGACCAGCCATGGCCGTCTTGAGCTTCTGCAGCTTTGCAAAGCGCGACGTACTCTCGAACGCTTCCTTGAGTATCGCGCTGCCCTCTGCAGAGTCGATCCACGCTTTGGCAGCGGCGGCGAGAGCAACAGATGGGAAATCGATGGCAGGTCCACGAGTCATGCCATCGTTTGTGACAACAGTAGCGACACCTCCTCCGGCGTTGAGGGCTTTGCAACCACGGGACGTCGAAGCCACAAGTGTACCCTCAGCCGTCGCCATGGGAATTGGATACAGCTGGCCATCGATATTGAGAGGGCCAGCAATGCCGAGGGGAAGAGGAATATAGCCGACAACATTCTCACAACAGGCCCCCATGACGCGGGAATAATCATAGTGCGACATTGGTATAGCGGAGTCCTCGAGCGTCTTGGTTCTCGATGATCGAGCTGCAACCCTCCGTCAGCTACGGTGCTTCTAGCAAATTGTTGAGTGGACATACAGACTAATGCCCTTCGAATCAGAACCGCACGTTCTAAATCGCCTAAAACTTTCTCGAGAGCATACGCTTGAATTTTACCATTCTGGGCCAAAAGAATAACTTCTTCATCCTTGAGTAATGAGAGTGACACCGAGACCGGGCGAGGACCATTCTCGAAGATGTCGACACACTCTTCCAGCGAACGTATATGACTTGAGGTCTCCTTTGTGTCAGACTCTTCATCTTGTGAATCCAGTTCGTCGCTTGGCGTGAATGTAGGCTGCTGTGCTTTGAGTTTCTCATCGACTGAATCCAGGAGTGACGAGATTCCATTCACGGAAGGCGCTCTCGCTGGCACGGGGATCGGTCGAACGACTGGAGGTGCACCAGAATAAGCAACCACATCTTCTTTACGAGACCCCGGGAAGATTGGGATAGGCGCAGGGAGAGAGGATGGGATGCCAAGTTGCTTCTCCTGTCGGTCGACGGCGTTGAATCGGACACTTTGAGCCGGTTGGACTCCGCGAGTGGAGCCAGTCCCCGTAGAGATGCCTTTGAGAAGGTAACCGTTAAGGGCAACACTGACACCGAGGACTAGCACAATCCATTTCGATAGGATCGGGTCACCGACAAGCCGAGTCCATGAGGACATGAAACTATCGATCATATCATCCGCATCGCGTCCCTTGGCCTTGGCCTCCTTATGAAGGTGTGGCGAAATAATGGGTACCATGCGAACGTGGACCGGTGCTGATACGCGCACTATCAGTTCAGTTTCGTTGTGAAGGGCTGCAAGGCTAGAGAGTGACTGTTCGACAGGGAGGCTGGTGATGTCGACGGTGCGGAAGCCGTGGAAGGCATCCTTGGCGTAACGAGAACTTTGTACCTGCTGAAGGCGAGGCACAGCCGCACCAGGGGTGAACGTGGCACACAGGTTCAAGAAATGGAGCGAGAGGAATGAGACAATCTACATGATTGGGGTCATCTCGATGACCTAACGGGAATGGAGGGAGGTACGCACCAGCAATAATTTCAAGCGAGCGACAGGATTCTCCTCCTTTCCAACCTTCTCCTTGGACTGAGACCTGAGCAAGGAACCCTTTACGCCCAACAATGCAGCAGAGGTTCGCTGACGCAGGCTGAGTTTCGGCATCTGGATTTGGCCGTTCACAATTACGGGAGGCTTGCCATCCGACATAGACGACCTTCGCGAGGACAAGGCGCGGAACATCTTGATGCGGCGCACCTAGGACAATAAGACAATGTAAATACCACAATCACAATCAAGACAGGACAAGACCCCGAAACCCAGAGGCACGTGAGGTCGAAGGATTTGAAACGTACCTCGATCATAACACTGAGAATAGCGACGTAGAACGTCGTCGTTGCGACACAGTCCACAGTTAAGAGTAAAGCAGCGAGGGCGCAGAACTCCTTAAGCCCGCCGACCTTGCTATATGCGCCGATGAGAAGTACGGCAATTTCGAGAGCGTAATCCCGAACGATAATATTGCCCGCTTTATCGAGCGCCTCTAAAATGAGGTCTGGAGCTGGTTTCATCTGACCACGAAGGCGACCTTCCTGGATAGCGGGCTGCATGAGATGGGGATGGCCGAAAACCGTGCGAGCAAGGCGAAGAGGCTTCTCGAATCCGACTGTGCAGACCAAGAAAGGAAGAGCTTCGACTAGGCTGACCGGATCGAGAGGGATGCGAAGGTAACCAGCAATTGGCAATGCAACCATGAAAGAAAGAGTTGACGATGACAGGATCGCAGTGGTTAACCAGAAGTTGGAGCCAAGGCTACGAGATGCGAGGAAAAGACGGATAAACGTTGTATGCATCAATACATATCCAGCGAGGACGAGCAGGATGTCCAGGTTGTCCGCTTTCTGGAAGAAATAGTGAGGGAAAGTCCTGTCAATAGATGAATGCCATGCTTACCTTCGTGAGGTCCCAGAAGCGAACTATCAAGGCGCGTGCCGCATACGCAACCCATTTGCCACTCTTCATCGCTGCAACTGATTCTTGCTCAGGGTTCTCAATAACATATTTGATAGGGCCGAACTCTTCCGAAATAAAAGAGCCTTGCTTTGCCAGAGCACTGACGAAGTCCTCACGACCTCCCGCGGCAAATGATAGGGTCACAGATTCCGCTTTCGGGATACTCGAAAAAGTAGAGGTAAAACAAGCTTCTTCTCCATCTTGGTTGGTCTGGACCGAGTGGCAAATATCCGTATACGATTTGCCAGACGACGTAGGGAAATGATGCGTGAGAAAGTGCGTCATGTTTTCCAAGGAGTAAGTGACTTGTGACGAGAGTATCGGATTCTCTGCGATCTGCATGAGGAAGTTAGTTGGTGTAATGTTAGAAGGAAAAGTTGTGCGCACCTTCTTTGCTGTCTTGGTATCAAAAGACATGGTCAATTGCTGAAGGTCGATGGCAGAGGAGGACCGGTGGGCGAGGGAGTCATACCACTCAGTCTCCGGAACGGTAACCCATTCGTTGCCACGCCAGAGTGCATGTGATGGGCGCAAGGGCGGGGGGGTACTCGGGGCGAAGAAAGAGGAATGCTTTATGGCGGAGAGGACCTGGAAGTACGCGAGCGTGGCGAGCACGAAAAAGAAGACGATAGTTTCTATGGGTGAAGATGCGGCATGAATTGAAACTGGGCGGATAAGGGCCCTCATTGTAGGCAAGTGGTGGGTGTGCGCGTCAAAGGTCCGAGGATCAGGCGATTAGCAGTTGTTGAATTTAATAGGGTGAGAAGTGGTTCGATGACGGTGTCGTTCGAGGGAAAGAGGTGGCGAGGAAATAAAAAATCTCTATGGATAAGAAGAAGTAAAATAAAGGGGAGGCGGATCGTACGAGTGAACGAACGAAAGTAGAGAGAGAGAATGAGAATGAGATGGGATAAAGAGTGGAACGACTCGAAGCGAAGAGACATATTTATTGTGAATTGACAGTTGACAAAGACCCCGGAGAGCGGTCTCGCCCATCCTTCCCAGCGAGCCCGCGAGCATGTCGCCAATTACGCCACATGGCATCACTTATCCTTTTCCGTTGACTTCGCTGCTTCTGATCAGGCCCAGATCTACCAACGCACTCCTTCGTTTCACCTTCACCCACCCTCGGCCTTCTGCACCACTGCCGGTACCGGCTGGCGTACGAGTGCTGCGTCCGGGAGTGTAGTGTTCGGTGGCGTGCACCGCCTCCAGGTTGCATCACTACAACAAACAATAGAGCCTACAGCTACCGTGACAGGCTATGTTCCGTGCACCTATCATTTTTCGTCACACTTCCACATTACAAACATGCATACTTGTACTCCCACACGGTATCAGAAGCCGAATAGCCGGATGCGAGATT